CCCAACGTTGGGCATTTTACAAGAAGTACGAATCTCATTCTTCATGTATCAAGGGCAGAGGGGGAAAGGAACGGAAAGAAAAGAAACGCCCCCTCTCCCCAAGCTCTCTCCTTGGGCCCTCTGAAGCAGCCCATGCCCCTCCCCCGCCCATCTCCCAGCCTCGGGCCTGGTGTTTGCGCTTGACCCTGTCTCAATGTTGCATGCCGATCCCAGAGGCCTTTGCGTTTCTGTCCGGTGCTTTAATCTCCTGTATTGCTGCCCGCCCTGTGAGATGAAACTGTAATAAACCATTCCATGAGGACACCCAACACCCCCAGCCTCAGCGCGTCCTCACTCGGGGGCCTGCCTGCCCGCCTCCCTCCACACCCCCAACCTGGGGGGGGCCCCTCCTGACCCTGACTGAGGCTTGAGAGGATCCCCCCCGCCCCCAACCACTATCCCTGCCATCTTGTCCATCCCCCTGTCTCTATGAGCAGGACTGTGCTTGTCCCGTTGTATCAGGGGAAGGTGGAGGGAGGGGGCCTCTTGGGGAGATGTCAGCTGCCTTCTGTTACCTGCATGAGTGTCTTGTGTCCATCACCATCAGCGAGCTCTAACCTCCTTCCTGCTTCAGTGGGAAGCCCACCTCTCAACTTTTTGGGAGCTGGGCCCGTGGCGATGGAGAAGTCGCAGATGGGTGCCCGAATTCTCGTGCTGTTGGCTCTGTGGCTTGGGGGGGCGGTGGGTGTCTTCTGCTGTCTACGTCCCTTGGTCCTGTCCCTACCCCCTCACCCCTACTCTGACCCTCCCAGCTCCCCAGATCAGAATTGAGAGCTGAGCCGGGTTTTGGGGACGATGATCAGAGATGGGAAAAGGGGTCAGCGGTCTGACGTGGGCATTAGGGAAGTAGGTTCTGGGAGGTCCACACTCCCTTTCATTTTGAGGCTGAAAAGTGTAGAAAGGGGGCAAAGAAGAGAAGGGCCAACAGTCTGTTCTCTTGTGGGCCATGTTAGGGAGAGATTGTGTTACTTGTAGGTGCCTGGAGGCAGGGGTCCAGGAAGCCTGAGTCCTAGAAGAGACGTACAGCCCACAGGCTGGAGAATGAGGCAAGAAGGCTTCAGGACCGGGTCCCCTGAGAATGACATCTGTATATGTCCAGCCCCAGGCAGGAGGAGACATGGGTCTGGACCTTGGGGAATTCATAGTCTGGGTAGGAAGACAGGGCTTATGGAACAGGATGGTGACATGTTTAAATATGAACATGAGTGATAGGAACACTTGAGTGTTTGTGTCCCACAGTGGGGAGAGATTGGTATCGGAGTAACTAGCCAGGGAAGGCTTCCTGGAGGAGGTGACCTGAACTGGGTACTAAAGACTTATGAGATTCGGAAAAGTGGAAGATAGGTGGTGTTGGGGAAAGGGAGGGGCCAAGTAGTTACCAAGTCCTTCCATGTTCTTCACATCCCGCTGAAGGGTAGAGGCTGAAAAGGCTGGAGTTGACCCCTAAGACATCAGCTCCCTTTGAGAACCAGCCCAGGACATCCCCACTCCTTTGGCCCCACAGCTTCTCTGTACTGCTGATCTTGAAACCCTTACTTGGAGCCCCAGAGGCCCTCCACATAGACCTGGAATTTGGGGATCAGCCACACTTAATCCCCAGTTATCTCCCGTTACCTTTCTAGGGCCAGATCCTAGCACCTCATCCCTTCTCCTAGTCACCACACAGGCTTTCTAGGGCTTATTCCCAAGGAGGAAAGGATCTGCTTGGTTCTGTGACACCCAGAGAATGGTGATGTTTGTGTTTGTCCAAGAGCATTATTTGTGGCTTGGACACTCTCGGCCCTGGCTCACTTGTCCAATTCTCTGACCAATCCAATGACCTCCTCGGAGGGCTGAGTTCAATAAGTAACCTTTCTCCTCCTGAGGGGGACTTCTTATTAAGAGACTTGATTGTAATCAAACCGAACACACATTGAACCTGGTTCCCAGTTTATCCCCAGAGTTCATGAAAGAAACTTCAATTGGTAGCTGCCTCATTGGACATCTGGGCCAACTTAGCATCTAAATAGGAATCCCCAGCCCAGCCCCCGAGATGTTTCCAGCCAGTGGTCATTCAGCTTCTGGGTGGGAAGGAGAGCTCACCACTTCTAGAGAAGCTCACATCCTTCCTTTCCCTTCTCCATCCTGTGCGTTCCCTCTCCCCTTCCTTGAGCACAGCCTATTATAGGAGCCTCCCACCTGGTCAGCCTGTCTTTATTTTTTTTCCCTTTTGTAACCATGGTAAGGATATAAGGATTGGGAATTCCCAGGTGAGCACATTCCCTCCACCAATGCAGATCAGCACCTTCTCTGCATTAATTGCCTACATTACCAAGAGGTTAAATGTCTTGTCCAGGTTATCAAAGGTAGGACTTGGAACCCAGGTCTTCCCAGTTATGCATGGTAGCCAGAACAATTTTTCTAACACCTACCTCTAGTCAAGCCAGTTTTATACTCCCAAACCTTCCATGGTTCCCTTTGGCCTGCTGAATAAAATCCAAGCTCAGCCTGGGATCCAAGGCCTCTCATGGTCTGGGTGCCCACTATCTTATTGTCTACTGTACCTCTATCACAGGAGTTCTTAACTTGGAGTTCGTGGATTTCGGGGGGGTCTGTAAACTTGGGGAAAAAATAACATCTTTATTTTCACCAACCTTCAGTTTCCTTTGTAATCCTATGTATTTTATTTTATGCCTTTAAAAACATGATTTTGAAGAGAAATCTGTTGGCCTCCAGGGCCTCCTGCTGCCCAAGGACCATGACGTAAAATAGGTCCTTGTGAGGAGTAGTGACTATTCACTCCACACCCACCGCCGGATCCTGCTCATAACAGCTGCTGGCATTTGTAGGTCCTTAACCTTTGGCCTTTGAGGGGGCCACTAAAGGTAGCATTTGTTAAGCACCTACCATGTGCCAAGGGGGCTGTCTCCAGTCACCCTGAACTGTGTCTCACCCCTGGACCCAGATGACTCTGGAGGAGAAAGTAAGGCCAGTGACCTTGCACAGCCCTCCGCTCAAATCCGTTTCACTTGAACGTCGTGGCATCACCTTCCTGATGTCATGGTCCTCTTCCGGAACAAAGGACGAACTACAACAACTGTGCCAAGCACTGTGCTCATTGCTTTACAAATATCTCATTTGATCCTTACGATAGCCCTGGGAGGCAGATGCTATTATTAATCCCTATTTTGCAGTTGAGGAAACTGAGCCAGACTGGTTAGGTGACTTTTTCCAGGGTCATACTGCTAGTTAAGTGTCTGAGGCTGGATTTGAACTGAGGTCTTCCTGACTCCAGGCCCAACACTATGCATTGTACCACCCAGATGCTGGTGCTGCTGTAGTAGTAGTAATAGTAGTAGTAGTGGTAGTAGTAGTAATAATAGTAGTAGTAGTAGTAGCAGCAGCAGCAGCAGCAGCAGCAGCAGCAGCAGTAGTAGTAGTAGTAGTAGTAGTAGTAGTAGTAGTAGTGATAGCAGTAGCAGTAGTGTAGTAGTATTAGTAACAACAACGTGGGGCAGCTACATGGATAAAGTGCTAGCCCTGGAGTCAGGAGGACTTGAGTTCAAATTTGACCTCAGATACATATTAGCTGTGTGACCCTGGCCAAGTCATTTAACCCTATTTTCCTCAATTTCCTCATCTGTAAAATGAGCTGGAGAAGGAAATGGCAAACCGCTCCAGTATCTCTGCCAAGAAAACCCCAAATGGGGTCGCGCAGAGTCAGACACAACTAAAATGACTGAACAGCAATTACAGGTAACGTATTTGTATATATTATCTCATTTAAGCCCCACAGCAGCCTACGAGGTAGATGTTATTACTATCCCCATGTTACAGAGAAGAAATTGAGGCTAAGGGAGGATGCCTGACTTGCCCAAGGTTACAGGGCTATTTCGTATTTTGGGCAGGATTTGAATTCAGATCTTCCCTCCAATGCTACAGATTCAAACCCATTGTCATGGCTGCCCATCCTTTTCGACTTGTTCACGTCCGCCATTCATTATGGGGTTTACACCCAGCATGTTAGGGACTTTTCCACAGATGTTTTGGAATCCCAAGGAGAGAGTGGAACACGGGAGCTATTGATTAACTGTCCATTGCCTTCTGGGTGAGACTCCTTTTCAATTCTCCCAAGCCAGCATCATGGCTATGCCACCAGGAAAGTATTGGCATTAAAAGGATAGACATCTTCATTCTGGGAGAAGCTTGGAGAACTCGGCAGCTTCCCAAAGGCAGTCCAGCGTTCTAACCTCCTTTTCGGTTTTGGGCCCAATTCATTCATCGGCCAGGGTGTGCAAGAAGGAAATGGTAACCCTATTTTGTGGATTAGGAAAACCAAGGGAGGACCATTTACAGTCAGGACTGGCATCTGGGTGAGCCTGGAGTTAGGAAGACCTGAGTTCAAATGTGACCTCAGACACTTAACTAACTGTGTGACCCTGGGCAAGTCATTTAACCTCTGCCTCAGTTTCCTCAACTGTAAAATGGGGATCATAATATAGCATGAGCTTCCTGAATTCCTAGATGGGATGCCTCTGAGGGCCTACATAGGGTAGGGGGCTCAGGAAAGCCTTGGTCAATTGGATAGTGTGAACAGGGAGATAGGAATGTGTTGGTAGCATAGCACGGAGACCAGCCTGGCCAGAGTCTTCATGTACAGAGAGAAGCAGGGGGAGGAGACTGTCACGATAGGCAGGCAGGCTGCAGAGGGCCTTGAATGCAAGAAGAGTTTGCACTTGATCCCACCCAACATGGGCAAACAGCCGGTGTAAGGAAGGAGGGAGGAGCCCGGCTCTTGGGCAGTGCCAAACATCCTCTTCAGTCCCTTGGACTTCCCGTGCCCCGCAGTTCTTCTTCCTCCCCAGGCCTGGCCAAGCTCTGGGAGCCCCTCCCTCCCTTTCTTCCACGTGGATACTGGATCCACTCTGCCAGCCTGCTGGAGATAATTCAGGACAAGAGCAGGTGCCGTCGATCTGGGGCTCATGGAGTCTGGCCCTTCTCCTCTGCTGTACCTCTTCTGCCTCCTGCTGCCCTCCTACCAGGGCCAGGCCAGGGCTGCGCCTCCTTGGCACCGAAGGTTTGAGTACAAGTTTAGTTTCAAAGGACCCAGGCTGGCAGTCGTCGGGCAAGAGATACCCTTCTGGAACCACCACGGAGGTTAGGGGACAGTGTAGAAGGGGGGGTCCAGGCTTGAATCTCAAAAAGGGTGGGAAAAGACACAGAGGGCTGTTCCCCTCCCCCACTTGGTGCCAGCCTCTGTCATGCGTAAGCACAGGGGCATCTGAGGATGTAGGTGCCTTTCTGCTTCTGAAGCGCTCTAATTCTGAATTAGAGAAGGATTGAGCTGCCAAGGGAGAGGGTGGGTGTTGAGCTGTTGTTTCCAGGCAGAGGCCATCCCAAGACTATTTTTCACCTGGCAATGCCAGCCTGTGCCATGGGACCAGAAACAAATTTTGTCCATCTGTACTTCAGTGTTCAAGGGCCAGACCTTACCCCTTTGGACTTCTATGAAAGCCAGGTGATCTGACCGGTAAATAAGGACATGGGGAAGAGGCTAGAGGTCATCCTTGGGGTCTTGGTGGTACCATTGACTCACAGTGGACTTGGGGCCCAGCTGCAGGCCTAGCTGACCACATCACATTCTCAATTCTCTCCTTCAGCCTCCGTTTTCCGTGCCTCTGCCTTTGCAACTTGGCATTTCCCTATGTCACCCATAGTCTCATAGGCAGTTAAGGGACTCGAGAGTAATTTAGCAGTTTGAAGCTCTTTTTTAGATAGAAAAACTGATTCCCAGAGACTTTAAGAGACTTGGCCAAGGTCACATGTGCAGGAGAGTCTGGTTTAAACTGTCTCTTGATCCAAGGTCCCGGGCTTTTCCCACTGTACTATGTCACCTTTTATCCCTTCTTTCTGTGTCTTTCCCTTCTGCCTGCCCCACCCCTCTACCTCAGTTTCCTCTATTTTGGTACCAGGGAGGACTGTGGTTTGATGACTGGGTGATTGTAGCATCATGGCCTGGAAGAGGCTTCTGGGGACATTATGTCCCATCCCCTTCCTGTTATAGGGAACTCTCTAGAGCAGCCTAGTCTCTGGACTCAGCTGCTTTGTAATCCTGGGCCCTGGCCCTCTCCCAGTGACAGCCTTCCTACCCCCCTCTCTAACCTCCAGGCCTTCCCTTAGTGTTGTTTGTGGGGGCCCAGCTCCCCAAAGTCCCCGAAGGGCTCTGGAGGGGCCCAGACTCTTGCTCTCCTGCCTATCTTGGCTCCCCCACAAGCAAGGAAGTCTCCAAGTCTTGCAGCCCAGCTGTCTTCCTGGCCCTGGGGTCTGGGACCCAGCGGCTTTGTCCCCCAGCAGCGCTAGAGCCATTTCATTCCCGTTTGTCTCTGGCAGCCATCTCCCCTTTCAGCCGCCCTATCTTCCTTCTCCCCAGCACACAGGTCGGGGAGAAGTGTCTGCCAACCTTATTCCCCTGGGATGCTCCCTCCCAGCCTTCTCCCCAGTTCTCCTCCCCAGGCTGGGTCAAGATCTAAGAGCTCCTCCCAGGTGTGAGGTGTGGGGGCCAAAGTCCCCCCCTCAGCAGGGTTTGTAAGGCATATGGAGCAGACGATGCTGACTTTGAAGGGAGGCAGCTCCAATGGGGGAATTTCAGGCGCTGGGGAGTGAGAATATATTTTGGGATAGGACCTTCTGAGAGCCCCTAAAATCACACTGCAGAGGTAACCTCGTCCTCCACCAGGGGTAAGACCAGACCTGCATAGGACCTCCTCTGGTTAGTGGTTAGTGCCTTCCTGCTCCCACTGAACCCCAAAGGAGGGCGCCTGAGGGGAGAAGGAAATGCAAGACGCCTTAGAGGTATTCATTTAATCCGACTCATTTTACAAATGAAGAAACTGAGGCCCAGAGAAGTTGTGACTCTGCCTCCTAAGCTCCCCTCCCCCTCCTTCAACCAATGTGACCGCAGCCTTGGCTTTTTTGTGTCCCCTCCAATGTAGGGGATGCTCAGGTGGGACCAGATTTCCACACCTGTCCCTACCTTGGATTGACTCTGAGCTCTCAGGAGGTGAGGGGGAGGGGCTGGGGCAGCCCCGAGACCATCCCACAGGACAGGGGATACTCCAGGAAGCCTAGAGGGCACCATGGATTGGACTGGGAGTCAAGCAGCCCAGGTTCTGGCTCTGGCTATCCCGTTTATTAACAGCTTCCTCTCTCTGGGCCTCAGTAGAGGAAGAGGTGAGCTTAGAGGATCTCCAGGTTCCTGCCTGCTCTACCCATCTCTAGAATGAAGACTGACTCAGAGCCTTTCCCGTGCCACATTCCTTCCCTTTCTCAGCATCTTTTCCCAAGGGCAAACACGGGGATTAATAAGATCTCCAGGAAGAGCCAGCAGGGACTAGGAGGAGGGGGAAAGACAATGACAGAGACCTGGGACTTGTGCCAGTTTCCAGGTTGGCACATGGTTGGGGGCAGGGGGGATCAGCAGAAGGGAGGGCTGTGGTTGGGCTGGCAGCTGGCAACATCTCCTTTCCCAATTAGGGCTGGCCCTCTTTAGAATTGTGAATGGGCCAAGTTTTAGCTTGGTGACCCCAGCTCCCTGATCTTGGCCAGCCTGGCCCCAGCCTTTTCTTCTTTAACAACAAACAGTAATTTAAAAAGGTAGGAAAGGCATGTATAGGTATAAGTAACTAGGATCTACTGTGAATGCTACCCCTCACAAGGCTATTTGTATTTTAACAAGGATCAAAGCTTTAACAGAAGGAAATTCAATTAATAAACAAGCATTTTTAAGCACCTGCTGTGCGCTAGGCACTGGGAATACAAAGATAAAAACAAATAATCTCTGCCCTCAAGGACTTTGCTTTTTTTTTCCTTGAATCCCCTTTAACAAACAATTATTAAGCTGTCTACTATGTGCAAAACCTTGGGTTAGGTACAGTGCCATAATCAGGAGTTTTATGCTGAGGAAAGTGACAGAACCCAGGGGAAGGGGAGGGGGGGAGTAGCATGGAGGATACTGTTAATTGGCTGGGGGGGGCCCCCCAGAGCTGTACCACCCAGGACCATTCCTATTTTTAGCAGTAAGGAGGATAGAGCTTATACTATAAGGAAGAGCTTATTCCAGTCCATTATCTGACATTTTCGTATTTTAACTAAGCTAAAAGTCTACAAGTGCCATCAGCTTCTCTTAAATTTTTTGCCCTCTAAATTTGACTCCCTGGCACAAAATCAGTTTCCCTTACCCTAGTTATAGCCCTGGCTAGTTGCTTGGGATACAAAGCCAGATGAGGTACAGCCCAGGGTTGGAGGAACTTTTACTCTCAGGGACCAGGTGGCAAGAGGGGTATGACAAGGGCAGAAATAATTCTGATACCAAGGATGGGGATAGGGACTATACCTGTGAATTCATGACCATAGAGAATTCTCAGGTGAGGAAATTCCCTCTCCTAATGTAGGTTGGGACCTTTTCTGCACCTGCCTAGAACACTGAGGTTAAGTGACTTGCCAGGATGTGTCAGAACAGGAGCTGGAGCCCTTGTCTTCCCCACCTTTAAGGTCAGCCATCTGTCCACCAAACCAGCAGTTCTCAAATGTTTGGTCTCAGGATCCCTTTATATTCTTAAAATTTTTCCTTATGTGGTTTATATATACCCATATTTATGGTGTTAGACATTATGATGGATATATTTTTAAAATCTTTAAGAAGAAATATATTCATAAAAATAACATATTTTTGTCAATTAGTGAACAGAACAGCATTGTTTTACATATTTTTAATGCCAGTCTCTTTAATGTCTGACTTAACAGAAGATCGATGAATACTCCTGTTTCTGTAGACAATTTGTCATGATGTGTTGTTTTGATTAAAGTATGTGAAGAAATCTAGCCTCACATGGATATGCAGTCAGAAAATAGAGGCAAATAACATCTTAGTATTATTATAAAAATAGTTTTTGATCTTGTGGAGCCCCTGAAAGATCTTGGGGACCCCAATTTGAGAACTGCTGCCCTGAACCATTTTGATCGCAAGCAGTGTGAGATAAATTCAGAGGAGAGAGCCTAGCAAAGTCACAAAAAGGAAACTCAGGAGAGGGAGAGTACTTTTGCAGAGGATCTGTCACCAGAGTTGGGCTTCCCGATGAAGGATGGGACAGGAAGTACACCTCAGATATGGCAGGTGGGACAGGGGAGTGTCTGAAAAGGAATGGAGATGAGACGCAACTGGATAAGAACAGGATGTTTGTCTCCGAGGTCAAATATTTGAAGGGGACCCATGTGAGATGAAGCTCCATTGTAGGTTAGAGCCAAATTGTGAAGGGCCCTGAATACTATAGTCAGGAGTTTATACTTTATTTGGCAGGCATGGTTTTTCAATAGTGGAATGACATGAATTAACAGCTCAGACAGGGCAGGAGTATACTGGAAAGCATGCTGGGAGCTGACGCTTATTTTCCAACCCTGGTCCTGTCCCTAAATTGGCATTGGATCTCTGGGCAAATCACTTCCCCTCTAGGAACCTTGGTTTCTTTCTTTGTAAAATGAGGAAGCTCTCATCTCATCCTGCTGTGACAGGTGATGTCTTCCAGAGACCCCAAAGCTGATCATGCACCCCCATCTGCCTTAGTTTCTCCCTCTCCCAGGAAAGGCTCGCTCCCCACTCTTCAGGTAAAAGAAGAAAATGTGGTCCAGAAAACCTAAAGGCTTAAAGCAAAAAAAAAATTCAATCCAGGCATCCTGTTTCCTAGCCCAACATGCTCCTTCCCCCAAGGTCTCTCCAACACGTCCTGACTGCCCTTCACTGATCCCTCATTCCTCAGAGTTCTCCCTTCTCCTCCACTCTATCATCCTCCCCTGCTCTCACCCGCTTCCTCCAACCCATCAGGTAACTAATCCTACTGACTCTATCTTTCCCACGTCTCCTCTTCCCATCCTCTCTTCTCCACTCACACCACCACCTCCCCAGATCAGACACTGGTCACCACTCACTAGGATTATTACGGTAGCCCCCCAGTTGGTCTTCCTGCTTCCAATTGGTCCCTCCAATCTATTTGCAAAATGTATATCCCTAAAGTGCAGTTCTGATCATACTTCCTGCCCAAGAAGCTTCAGCTGTTTCCTGTTCTCTCTAGGATAAAATATAAATCTCTGTTTGACATTTAAAGCCCTTCACAATCCGACTCCAACCTATATTTTCAGCCTGGGCTTGCATTACTCCTGGTCTCATGCTACATTCCAGCCAAACTAGCCTACATCCTGACCCTGTCCATTACACTCAATCTCCTACCTCTGGGCCTTTGTCTTCTATGCCTGGAATGCTCTCCCTTTTCACCTCTGCCTCCTAGAATCCTTAGTCTCCTTCAAAGCACAACTCAGCTGTCACCTCCTACAAGGAGACCTTTCCTTATGCTCCCAATTGTTAGCGATCTTGTGCTCCAACCCCCTCCCCCGCAAAAAAAAAAATCTCTTTTGTATTCACTGTATGTAATTTGTATCTGCTCAACATGTTCTTTCCCCCAATATAGCGTAAACTCCTGGAGGGAAGAGATTGTTTAATTGTTGCTGCTGCATTCCTAGCGTCTACCACAGTGACAGTAACTGACAAAGAAGCTTAGCTCAATAAATTCCTGTCTTACTCTCACCCCTAAATCTTTGCTCAAGCTGTTTCCCCAGAGCGAGATTGTTTTTCCTCTTCTCCCGTTCCTGAAAATCTACCCACCCTTCAAGGCCCGTCCAGTAAGTCCCCCTTGACTGTCTCCTGTGCCCAACCAAAGGTGTTCTCCTCCTCCTTTGACCTGCTGAGTCCTTCAAGTCTGAACCACTACCTTACATGACTCTGGACAAAGTCTCTTGCCCTTTCTCAGCCTCAAATTTTCTCATCTGTAAAAGGAGTTTGGCTGATCTGCCCTCATTATTTCATGTGTAAGTCTTGTCTCTCTAATTATGCTGTGACTTCCCCAAGAGCTGGAATTGTGTCTGGCGCGGGGGGGGGGGGGGGGGGTGGGGGTTCAATTTCCAGACATCTGCTGGAGCACTTTTTGCCAAGAGCAGAGCAGTTAATCCTTTCTTGCCTTAATGATAATTTCATCCTTCAAAAGGCGCCAGAACCAACAAGGGGAAATTCTATCCTGTATCTGATTGTTACTGACACAGAGGAATTGGTGTCTGGGGTGGAAATAGATGGAAATCTTAAGGAAAAATGAGTACTTCATCTTAGAAGCTATGATAGGGGAGTAAAGATGGACCTTCAATGTTGGAAGAGATTTGAAAGGGTCCAGAGAAAGGCAAGGTTGACTTTCTTTCTATGGGAGGGATGAGGTCTTAAAGATCAGAGTCAGAAGACACATACAAAAACCATCGTTATGGGGAGGGAATAGAGAAGTTACCTGTAGAGAACACTGATGCACAGAGAGCTCACTAACCAGTTTATGTCTTTTTAAGGCATGTACACAAAATAAAAGCAAGGCCAGGTAGCTCCTGATGAATACAGAGGTGCAATGGAATGATATAAGAATAATCTCAGGAAAATTAGGCATGTGAATAAGCCGAGACTGGCAAGGAAACCAATGAATAATAACCAAATAGGAGTTTTTCAAGCTCTATTGAAAAGAGGAAAAAAAAGGAGACCCCCTGCTGGGGGAATAAGGGCTGACAGTGACTGATGATGGAGAAGTGGTGAAGCTGCCCAATTTGATTTATCTTGCCTGTTTTCTCAGACAGGGAGAATGACCCTTGAACAGAAAAGCATAGAGTAAAAATGGCTGATTGGGCGTTGATACCCAAGATAAGTAAGGCACTAGTAAGGAAGCATTTAGCTGCCTTGAAGTCACCTGGTCCAAGTGAACTATGTCCCTGGGGTGCTGAATGAATGGGCAGGTATAATGAATGGCTGAGCCACTGCTAATGATCTCTGAAAAATCATGGAGGATGGGAGGGCAACTGTTGGCATGATTTTCAAAAAGGGGAAGAAGATGTAATCTGCAAAGTGGAGCTTGGCAGGGAGCTTGACTTTGATTCTTAGCAAAATCCCAGAACGTGTTATTAAAGAGATGGATGGTGCACATCTCGGGAAGGAAGCAGTGATTACAAAGTACCAGCACCATTTCATGGAGAGCAGTTCATTCCAGACTCTTTTTTTTTGGGGGGGGGGGGCATGGTTGCTAAACTGGTAGATCCAGGTAATGCTGGTTAGTAAAACATTTGTCAAAGTCTCTCATGTTCTTCTCGAAGAAAAGATGGAGATTTGTGGCCTATGTGACAGTATAATTAGACAGATTTGGAATTAGTTGAATGGTTGGACTCAAAGAACAGTCATTAATGGTTCAATGTCAACTTGGAAGGAGGTCTCCAATGGAGTGACCAAGGAATCTGTGCTTCATCTTATGCAGTTTAACATTTTAATCAATTATATCAACAATGAAATTTTTATTTATCACCTACTATAGGCAACTAGGGGCAGCTAGGTGGCACGGTGGATAGAGTGTCAGGCCTAGAGTCAGGAAGACCTGAGTTGAAATCTGGCCTCAGATACTTGCTAGCTGTGTGACCCTAGGCACGTAATTTAACCCTGCTTGCCTCAGTTTCCTCATCTGTGAAATGAGATGGAGAAGGAAATGACCAACCACTTCCAGTATCTTTGCCAAGAAAACCCCAAATGAGGTCATGACTGAAAACAACTGAACAATGACAAACTATGTGCAAGGTTCTGTGCTAGGCACAAAGTGGGTACAAAACAATCCCTACCCTCAAGGAACTTACATTCTGCCAAGAAGATATACAGATGTACAGAGAAGAGTAAATATAGAGTAATTTCAATAGTAAGGGAAAGCAGTAATAACTTAGGGGAGTAAGAGGGTCAGGAAAGGTCTTGAATAGGAGGTGGTACCTGAGCTAGGCTTTAGAGAAAGTTGGGATTCTCCAAGGCAGAGATGAGGAGGGCCTGCTTCCCAGATATGGGCAAGTGCCAGAGCAGTCACAAAGGCAAGAAATGACATGTTGTATACTCATAGACAGTTTAACTGGAATATAAAGTGTATGAAGGGAAGATAGTCAACTGTCAGGCAAGTGGGAAGGAGATTGTGAAGGACTTAGAATGGCAGACTAACGATTTTCTATTTCACCCTTGGAACAGCAGGGAGCCACTGAAGAGTTTTGTGTAAGGAAATGACACAGTCAGATTTCTGTTTTCAAAAAGCAATTTGGTGACTGTATGGAGGAGAAGTTAGAAGACAGTAACTTGGATAAAGGGATAGATGCCATGACTTGGAGGGGCAGTTAACACGCTGGGTGACAGAGCCAGGATTCAGGAAGATCTTGACAGGCTATAACTGGGCCAAATCTAATAAATGTAAATTCTTACCCTTAGTTCAAAAAAATCAATGTCACAAGTGAAAGATAGGGAAGGAGTGGATGGACACCAGTTAATCCCCCCAAAAAGAGAGAATGCTTGGCAGTTTTAGTGGACTGCAAGCCAATTTGAGTCAACAACACAATATGGAGGTCAAGAAAGTAAATGCAACCTTAAGCTTCATTAAGAAAGATAGAACATCTAGGAATAAAGAAGAGCTAATATTGCAATGTTTTGGTTTCATCAGATCACATCTGGGGAATTATGTTCAGTTTGGGAATATCATATTTTAAGTGGAACATTAAGGAGCTGGAGTATGTCCAGAAGAGGGCAATTAAGAATGAGTTCACACCCTATGGGGATCAGCTGAAGGAAATGTGGATAGTTAGCCTGGAGCAAAGACTCAAGGGGAGTGCCATAGTTGGCTTTAAGGATCTAAGGTGCTATCATGAGTTAGAGGGATTTGATTCATTTTGCCTATTCCTAAAGGGCAGTACTAGGGGGAGGGAGAGGGAATTGTGAAGAGGTTTGTGTAAACTTGATGGAAGGCAAAACTTCCTCCCCTTGGGAGTTATCCATAAGTGTCATGGACTGTCTCAGAAAACAGGGACCTCCTTCATTGTAGCTTGTCAGACAAAGCCTGGGGCACCATTTGGCTCAGGTATTTATTATTCCTGAAAGGCAGAAACTATTTCATTTTTGTCTTTGTACCTCCAGCCCCTAGCACTGTGCCTGGCACATAGCAGCGATTTAATTAGTAACAACAATAACAATAACTAGGATTTGTATAATGCAAAACACTTTACTTATGTTAGTGCATTTACATATGTTGACACATTTACCTATGTTTGACTATGTTTATGTTTTAATCCTCACAACAACCCTAGAAGGTAGGTGTTTTTGATAGACTTTGGGCATTTATCTCCCTGGGCCTCAGTTTCTTTACCTGCAAAATGAAGGGATCAGATTCACTGTCCTCAGGGGCCCCTGTCACTCTAGGTAGACGATCATATGACTGAGTGTTGTGGTAAAGTGATGTTTGGTCAGGTGTGAGTTGGTCTGGATGGCCTCTGGGCTCCCTTCCAACTCTGAAATTCAATGATTCTCTTGGTTCCCCCATAACATTTGGCACAGAGCTGGGCACACTGGAGGCCCTCAACTAATAATGAATGAAATGAATGAATGAATAAATGAATGAAGGAATGAAGAATATGAATTATTAAGTGAATGAATGAGTGAATATATGAATTAATCAGTGAATAAATGAATTAATGAAGTGAATGAATAAAGTAGTGAATGAAAGGCTCATGTAATGAATTACTGAGTGAGTGAATGAATGAGTGATGTGCCTTTGTTAGGCAGTGTGCAGAGATTCCAGGAGGCAGCTTCCTTGAGGAAGAAGGATGGCCCATGTCTCTGAGTAATCCCTGAATACCTACAGATGCCATTCCTGGACTAGAGGAGGTGAGGCTGGCCCCATCCATGAGGAACAAGAGTGGAGCCATGTGGACCCAAGCTGCCATCCCCTTTCCCAACTGGGAGGTGGAAGTGGCTTTCCATGTATCTGGGCTGGGCCGCCTGGGAGCTGAAGGGATGGTAAGCAGTGATCCCTCTGTCCATTCCAGGGGGCCCTCTCTTGTCGGAGGAGCTCCTGTTCTCCCTAGGTTGATAGGGACAGCTGCATCTCCCTTTAGAAGGAGTTACATTTTAGAAAAGAGGACCAGGAGCAGTTGCCAGGAATAGGGGAGGACTGAGGCTGGCCAGGTAGGGATCCCCAGGGTGGAGGCCCTCAGGAATCGGGAACTCCAACTATATCCCTCCACATAGCTGACTGGAACAGGACTGGCCACCTTGGCCCGAGGCTAGCTACCAGAGGCTGCCAGATGCCAGGGATGGCTGACTGGGCTATTGGTACCCACAGGCAGTGTGGTATATCCGGGACAGAGGCCAGACTGGTCCAGCCCTAGGTGGCCCCGCTTTCTGGGATGGCATCGGGATCCTCTTTGACTCTTATGACAATGATGACCAGGTGAGTTGTGCTGCAGACTCTCTGACCTGGTCCATCCAAAGTTCCCCAGGAGCATTGGAGGGCTCAGGCCAATCACCTCACTTGTTCCTCCCACAGAAGAACAACCCTGTCATCCAGGTTTTGGCAAATGATGGACAAATTCCATATGACCACCTCAGGTAAGGGTCTGCCCTCTTATCTCACCCCAGCCCTGAGAACGAACAGGATGAAGCTCACTGGTTGAGCCCCCTCACTTCCTTGACAATGTTGTACTCAAGCTCCAGGATTCTGGGTTCAGATCCTACCCCTGACCCTTACTGCCTGTGTGACCTTGGGCAAGTCACTAAACCTTTCTGTGCCTCAGTTTCCTCATCTGTAAAATGAGGGTGTTGGACTAGATGACCTGAGGTCCTTCCTGGTTCTGAGTCTATTACTTATGATGATAAGTTGCTTACTGAATTATTGTTTAAGGAAGGAAGAAACTTAAGTTGTCAATTCAATTCAATAAATATTTATTGAATTCCTACTCTATATCGAAAGGAAGTAGCTAGGTGGCTCAGTGGGTAGAGAGCTGGGTTTGGAGTCATGAAGACCTGAGTTCAAATCTGGCCTCAGACACTTATCAGCTGTGTGATCCTGGACAAGTCACTATCCACTAGAGAAGGAAATTATGAACAACTCCAGTATCTTTGCCAAGAAAACTCCATGGACAGTACTGGTGTGCTATGGTCCATGGGGTCATGAAGAGTCAGACACAATTGAATGACTGAACAACTGTATAGTTGTCCAAACTTCACAGAACAAATCCCCTTAATACAAGAATTTGTTCTGTGAAGTTTGGATTTGGTTAAAGGACCACACTTGAGGACCTAGAGGGCTACATATGGCCTCGAGGCTGCAGGTTCCCCACCCCTGGTCTAAGAAAATATAAATGTAGCCTAAACTCCATATGAGCGGGGACCGTGTCTTAGTTATAATACGTGTCCATGTACACAGATAAATGGGACACAAGTTAGAATTGGATTGAGTGCATAGCAAAGGCCAAACAGAGAATACTAAAGGATTTGAGAAGGTTCGCTTCTTCATGGGCGAATCTGGGAAGGCTTCATGGAGGAGATGACACCTTCAAGGTAGACCTTGAAGAAAGGGAAGGATTTCAAGTAGGTCAAGATGTTCACATACAGGAGACTGTGCAGATAGATGGAGAGGGTAAGAGGAGATCAGGGAACATTGAGTAGCCCAGTTTGTGGGAACATAGGTAGATAGGAGTCAGATTATGTGGGCCTTGAATGCCAGGCTAAATAGTTTGACATTTAATTGACAAGCAATAGAGAGTAATTTAACAGGTTTAAGGAGAGGAATAACACAATCAGACCTGTGTATGAATGAATGTCTTCCAGAGATGGAGGGGGACAGGTACTGGGCTCATGTCTTCGGGATTTCCGGAACCGGCTATACCCATTCCGAGCTAGAATCACCTACTGGGAGCAGAAGCTTCGGGTGAGTAACCCTGGAGTAGGGCTTACCCTGGGTCATTTTGCCACTCCCATCAGCACGTGGGCCTCCACCCTCCTGCACCAACTAAAATCTATCAGGCTCCTTAGATGGGGGAGGGAGGCGTGTGAGCATGGGGGAGCACAGATGTGCTGTGCTAGCTAACGCCTCTGGCGAACTCTGAGCAGCAAGGGGGTGGTCACACCCAACACTCTTAGGTCCAGTTCACACTTCTCTAGATCCAGTTCATACTTTCATAGTATTCTAAGTATAAGCTTCTCCTGAATCCTGCTTGAGGTACAGAGATGACAGTACCAGGGTCCTCAAAGGCTCTGTCTCAGAGTGAAAGCTCAGGAAGGATCTAGCCAAGCCAGAAGGTGGCCCAGTGATTGCCTGCATGTTGCGTCGTTTGAGGACCAGCGTAGCTAAATTCAAAGCAGCTCATCTTCTGTTTTACAAGATCTTAGATGTTGAGCTGGAAGGACCATTTAGTCCAATCCCCTCATTTTACAGATAAGAAATAGGAGACCCAGAGAGGTTGAGTGATTTGCCCAAACTCACACAGGTGTAAATGGTAGAGCGAGGCCTCAGCTTCAGTTTTTTCAGCCGTAGCTACTCTTTAAGACCTTCTACTGAATTAGTTCTGGAAAGGAGCATAATCTGTGTCCATGGAGGGAGGGCCTTGCACCAACCAGGTTACAGATCCTTGAAGCATATGATACTGGACAAACCTTAAATACATGTAGATCATTATTATTATTATTACTATTATTATTATTATGATTATTTATATACATTATCTACTTGGTTCCTCAGAACAGCTCTTTCATTAGGGGATGTACTATAAGATGAGAAAACAAATGAAGGCATTTTCCCAAAGTCACAAGTCAGTGACAGATGCCAGACCTTCTGATCTCAATCTCAGCATTGCATTACTTCCTTACATCTAGGGACAACATGTTTCATTGGTATATGCACCCAAGGAGGTTTTTTTTTTTCCAGGAGAACATTTATTGAATGCTCAGTCATACAAGACATTATTTTTATTTATCAAATAAACTAAAGAAGCAAAAAACATAGCTAAACTCAATTTTGCTATCAACAACTAAACTTTACTTTTAAAATACAAAGCTTTGAAAATGAGACACAAAACACCAATATTTTTGTGAGCCTGAACATACCCAGAATACCTTGTGTTCATGCTTATGCTTCTGAACGTTGACTACAGGAATGCTGACCAAGTCATGCATGTGCACGTGGACCTCAGTGAGGTTTCTCACCTGCCACCAAGTCAGTGAGGTACCAAGTACTAGCAAAGACCTAAAGAAAGGTTCCAGCTCCTTCTCTATTGCTTATCTACCCCTCACAGGTATCTGTGAACAATGGCCTCACCAACCAGGGAGCAATAGATGAAGTTTGCACTGAAGTGGGGCCCCTTCTTCTGCCCCCTGGAGGCTTCTTTGGGGTCTCAGCAGCCACTGGCACCCTAGCAGGTAAGGACCCACAGATGAGCCTGGGAGGCTGGCAGGAAGACGTAGCCCCCACTGGGGCCTTGATTGAGAGAAACCATGAAAGAGTATGTTATTGTTTTCCCTGTAAGGATGACTCTTTACAAAGTCACCTACCTTATATGAGCTCAAAGAGTAAAAAGACAGGTGGGTGAGCAAATCAGGCCCACTTGCCTCCTAGGGGCTTGGCTAGAGTATCTATTCAGAGCATAATGTCTGACTCTGAGCCCAGACCTTCTTCTAAGTCTTGGCCATGCAAGAAATCACCAACTTGTGTCTTCCAAACAGCAATTAGACCCTTAGTGCCTGCCCCAGTTCTATCTCACCTTGTTTAATCTGTAGTTAAAAGTTCAAAGATTATCAGACAATATTTCATGAATTTATCAAATTTGTCTCAACTCTCATTAACATCTTATTAATTTTGCATTACCCAGAGGAATATACATTTGCATGAAAGATTATAGTACATTAACTGATTAGAATTGGAAACAAAAAAAGATACAACAAAACTCCTAGCCACTCTGTCACTCTGGTGAGGGTCTGAAACCTCTCCCTTTCCTCTCCCAATTGAGGCAGGAGCTATTGGGTAGTCTGTCAGGGGCCACCACCGCTCATCATCTGCCCTTCTCCATCCCTCCACCAGCACCCCATATACCTGGAGTTCCCTCTCAGTATGTCTGCCTTCTTCTCTTGTTTGGACTCTCCTGGAATCCCTGAAGCTTCCAAAGCTGCCAATTCTGGCCCACTGATGCCCAGGAGAGTAGGAGGGTTCCTCTTTAACAGATGGACTAGTCCTCATTTTATACTACATAGCAGATCCCATACTCATATTGAGTTTTTGGAGGTCCCTGATGTAGATTGACTGTTTTTTTCTAACTGTTTTTAAATATAGCAAGATAGTACTCAACTTTACACAATGCCCAGCCTCCCCTATTTTTTGCTTTTCTCTGGTGCTTTGAGAGCTGGGGAAATTGCAAGAGAAAGAACCTAGGTTATTTCAAAACATAGGTTCCTTTTCTTCAAGGTTTCAAGGATCCATGATTTCATCAAGGTGGATGCCTAGAAACAGCTAGATGGCTCAATGGATAGAGTGCTGGGCCTTGAGCTGGGAAGACCTGAGTGCAAATCTGGCCTCACATACTTACTAGCTTTGTGACCCCAGACAAATCACTTAACCTTTGTCTGCCTCAGTTCCCTCAATTGTAAAATGAAGATAGTAATAATACCTACTTTCCAGGGTTGTCATGGGGATCAAATGAGATATTTGTAAAGTGCTTGGCACAGTGCCTGGCATAGAGCAGGTGCTTAATAAATGATTGTTTCCTCTTCATTGGTTGCAGATTGCAACCCTTCCATATCTTAGTAGCCAATATTCATGAGTTTCCATATTTAAAAAAAAAAGAACCCATCATCTTGTTGAGGAGATCTCTGCACTTAGATGGTCTAGCCCTCAGGAAACAAACACTGAGGTCATTTACAGGCCTAAACTTGAAGCCTTTCCAGTGTGTGAGGACCTACCAAGGCTTGTGTTCTGCTTTAATAGTCTTCAAGAGTCTCACCATGATAAGACATTGGAAGAAGACTGCCATGGAGAGTTATTGCAGTGATTAAGATTATACCACGAATGACCCTGATGGAAACGCAGCATTGCCTTATCCTACAAGTCATTGTGAAGGAGAATGGAGAAGAAGATAGACTCCCTCTCCTTGGCTGGTCTCAGAATAAGACTTCCATACATAAATAGTCAAAGAATAATTAATAATAGGATTTGGTAAAGACCAGATGAGCTCTACAGACACTAAGGTCTAGAATAGGTCAGAGGAGGGAGAGAGAGCATCATACTTGGCATGGTCGAGGATGACTCCTTAACAGAGATAGGATGGGGGTAGGAGCTTTGAAGGATGGGGGGCAGCCAGGTGGTACACTTGATAGAATGCTAGACATGGAGTCAGGAAGACTTGAGTTCAAGTACTACCTTAGACATATACTAGTTATATGACCTTGGTAAGTCACTTAAACTCTTTCAGCCTCAGTTTTCTCATCTGGAAAAGGGGGATGATAATCGCACCTACTTCTCAGGGTTGTTGTGAGTATTAAATGAGATGATATGTAAAAATACTTTGTAAACCTTAAAAGTGGCATAGAAATGCTAGATTTTTTTTTATTAAGGATGGGTAACATTGAGATAATTGGAGAGAGAAGGGAGGTCATTCCAAGAGCAGAGAATGTTATGAACAAAGGCTTGGAGGTGAGTTTGGGAGACAGTGAGGAATCTGATCTAACTAAAACAGTGGAGAGCCAGGAGAGGTAAGATTGGATAGATTGGATAGATCCAGATTGTGGTAGGGCTTTGGATGCCAAGCAAATAAATGTGTATTTTCTTTTGTAGGAAAATGGGGAGACCTTGTAGGTTCAAAAAAAATGAAATTATAAACAATATAATCATAAATAATTGTATGAGAAGGCATAGAGAGAGTGTCATGTATAAGAACAAGTGTGGCTGCACGGGGAGCTCTCAGATGAGCTAAAGTTTTTAAAAGGATGCAGACATAAATGGAAACTGTGGCATATAACAAAAGAATGCCATCTACTTATAAAATTACTGTTGGAAAAGGTCAAGTCCAGCATGAGCCAAGATTTGTGGATAGTGTTAAGGACAACAACAACAACAAAAAAAGGGATCTTTAAAATTTAAGTGTGAAGCAATACAAAGAACAGGTCAAATGCTTAGAGACAGATGATGTAATGTTAACAAACAATAGACAGAAGGCAGAACTACTCAACTCCTAAAATGTCTCCATCCAGATGAATGCTCTTCATTCTGGAAAGATTAGATCAGAAGTGGTTAAGAAGAAGTTGGAGTCCAAAGTAGGTATGGAGATACAAGTAAACATAAAGCTGTTCTGAGTTCAAGTCTCCTGACTTATGACATCCCAGAATATGGAAAGAACTTGTAGATGGGATCATTGACCTGCGGTCTGCCTTCTCTGAAGAATCATGGAAAATTGGAGAGATATTACCACGAGATATCTCTTAATGGTCCCATTTTAGAAAGGATCAAGGAGAAGTAGATTCTACAAAGTTAGACAAGTGAGTTTGATATTGAGAACTGGCAAAATTCTAAAAGTGGATTTTTCATCAGCTAGCTTGTGGATACTTAGGTAAGATGGTGATCATAGGACTTAGAGGTGGAAAACAGCTTACAGGTCATCTCACCCCAGCCCTATCCTTCGAAAATGAAAAACAAAGATTCAGAGAGGGAAAGTGATTTGACCAAGGTCATGCAGCTAGGCCTGGCAAAGCCATTGTTTTAACCCAGGTCCTTGATTCCAAATCAGGCTCGGTCTACTCCAACAATCAGCGTGGATAAGTAGGTTAGGCCAAACCAGCCTCATTTCCTTTTTTTTTTTTCAACAATTAGGATATTGTAGATACAATATATGAATTTCAGCAAAATTTCTTGGAAGAAAGTCTCTACAGGGAAAGTGAGCTCTCAGAGGGTTAGAACTGGCAAGAACTTTAAAGATAATCCAATCCACCCCCCACCTCTACACCCCCCCAACCCCCATCAGTTTAGAGGATCATGGGCTCACTCATAAGCCTAGTACTGGAAGGATATTTAGAAGTCATCTGTCCTTTACACATAAGGAGGAAAGTGACTTTCTAAAGTCCTAGGTGACATGTGTGTGCACAAGATGGTTGGATGATTCTATAGTCACGTAACTTCGTAGGTGATTCAACAACTATCCTTGAAGAGTGTTAACCTGAAGAATGATCTCTAATGGAGTACCACTGGTTTCTCTCCTCAACTCTATCCTGTTCAGTGTTTTTTATCAAACACATGAACTCTCTTGGCCCTATCACCACCAGGTGTAGTGGCATATAGACATTGAAGAGCAGAGGCAGCTCCTATGTACAAGAAGGAGTTGCAGCTATCAGGATGCCAGGGCATACTATTAGCCATCACCACCAATACCGAAGCTTGCATCCTAAGCTCCACTGTAAGCACCTCTCAATCAATCAATCAACAAACATTTATTAAGCACCTGGAGGTACAAAGACAGAAAAAGTTCTCAAAAAGTTTGCATTCTCTGCTTTATTTGACATTTTGATTTGATTTCTGGTTTTATATGTACTGACTTCCCAACACAGCTAGATTCCTGATTCCCATTATAGTGGCCTTCCTCCTTGGCACTGGCTCCTGACTCATGCTGTTCAGATTCTCCCTTGTTGGGCTCAAATTAGGACTCCCTGCCTCCTGTTTCTACTTGCTATCCTTCAAGATCAGGCTCCAGGTGTGCCATGACCCCTTGGAAGTCCCAGGTCTAGATCAACCAAGCTCCATCATCACTAGAGGCAGCATGGTATAACAGATAAGATACTGGACTTGGAGTCAGGAAGACCTGGTTTCAAATCCTCCCACAGACATTTAATTGCTTTATGACCTTGGACAAGTCACTTAAACTCTCTGGGTCTCAGTTTCCTCACCTGTAAAATGAGGAGTTGGACCAGATGGCCTCTAAGGTCCCTTCCAGCTCTAATCTTTAACCATATGGTTCCATTGGTATGTTTTTCAAAGCTGTTAATGACACAAAACTGAATGAGATGGTGAAAACAAGGGACAATAGAACCCAGATTTGAAAGAATCTCGATGGACTAGAATGAGAGGTTAAATCTATCAGGACAAGTTTTAACAGGCACAAATATAAATGACTCTGCTTTTACCGGAATCCTTCAATTCTAAGATCTAAGATCTCCATGGTGTGGATATTCCCTACGCTGAAGTGCATCACAGCCCCTCCTGACTTTCCTTTCCTGTGTGAGACTTTCCATAAATCCCAAGTAGAAGATAGTCAGCATGCTAGAGGCTTTGATAGCTCAAGAAGACAAACATTCAAGGACATTCAAGCTGCCCTTCTCTAATCTCTTATCCTTATTGCATGACCAGCCCACTTTTGCTTCCAGTCATACACATCCTTGAGGAT